TGCAGTGGAAACATACAGGGTAGATAGAACAAACAAGAGGCTGCGCGAGAAGTTGCTGTATGCACACCAAGGTGCTACTGGTATTTATCTGAAGGACAGAATATCACAAACGTTTTCGGATATTCCATTTCTCAATGCACCCTCAATGTCCCTTCATTCCTTCAAAAAAATACCAGTGGCACCATGATGTGCACAGAGCACCTTTTTGCTCAGCCTCTTGTTTGTTCTATATACCCGACAATAGTATTTGGAGAAAGATTAAAGGTTGAAATAATACATAAATTATGTGATCCAGAAGGGAGATTTCTAGCAGAGGTCTGTAAAGTAAATGAAAAGGTATATACTTTGTGTAACATTTACCTCCCAAATAAATCCCCTACTACTTCCCTAAGAAAAATAATGGAAAAACTGGAAGACATAAAAGTTGGACAGTTTATACTAGCTGAGAAGCTGGAGATTTTAACTCTGTGCTAGATCCCAAAGTAGATAAAAAGCTGATGAGAGGTGTTACCATTAAAAAAAAAAAACATTAAAAATGGTTATCAAACAGGCAAAATCTCTAAGTAAAATTAAAAATGGTTTAATCTATAGGATATTTGGAAAGTTTTTCATACTGACGACCATGATTATACTCATTTTTCAAGAGTAAATTTTTCTTACTCTAGATTAGATATGATCTGGATAGATTTTACTCTTCTGGATTCAATTGCTAAAACCGATATTATAGATATAACCTGGACAAACCGTAACGGGGTAGTATGTGAAATTGTAGCAGCAAAAAATATTAAAGCAACTTATTATTGAGGCTTATTGAAATCAGATCTTAATATAAAATCAAATCGAACTAAATATTAAAAGATATTGAGAAAACAATTTGACTGACGACATATCTCCAACCAGGGGCGTACCTGGAGCATTTGGCACCCGTGGCTCATTCGATATTTGGCACCCCCCCCCATCTTTAAAATGTAAAAAACACCCACACATTTTTTTTATGTATTTAGCACCATGCAGTGATGTATTGTTTTAACGTATTTAGCACCAAGCAGTGTTTGTGTTTGAATATAAGCATGTTTTTGTATGGAGTGTGTTTTCACGTATTGGCATTTGAATGCAAGTGTGCATTTTTCTGTAGTGTGGTTTTTTAATATGGTGGTGTGTTTTTATGTAGTGTTGACATTTGGATGCAGGGTTGTATTTGTGTGTAGTGTAGGTGAAATGTTGAGATGTATGCACATATACACATATACTCACATATACACAGACACATAGGTACACACATGCAGTTACATAGCAACACAGTCATTCACAGATACAGACAAACACTGACACGCACACATACAGACACACAGAGAGAGACACACAGGCACAGACACACATACAGATAGACACACACACATATAGACACACTGATACAAACACAGACACACAAACAGATACACATACACACACTGACACATACAGATAAACATATACCAACACACAAACAGATACACAGACATAGAGATACACAGACACACATGTATACGTGTGTGTCTGTGTGTGTTTGTATAGTGAATGCAGTGTGTGTTTGTATAATGAATGCAGTGTGTGTGCTTGTATAGTTGATAATGATGAGAGGAAGGGGGTGATGGTGAGAGGGAGGGGTGGTGGTGAGAGTGGGGTGATAGTATGAGGGAGGGGGTGCTGGTTTGAGGGAGGGAGGTGAGGAGGGGAGGGAGGGGTATTAGGTGTGAGGAGAGGTGATGCTGAGAGAGAGGGGGTGATGGTGAGGGGGTGATGGTGAGAGCAAGGGGGGTGATGTGAGAGGAAGAGAGTGATGTATAAGGAGAGGGGTGTGTGAGAGTGATGTAGAGAGGGAGGGTGATGATGAGTGGGGAGTGATGTGAGAGGGAGGGAAGTGATGAATTGTGAGGGAGGGGGGTGATGATGAGAGAAGGGGAGGGTGATGTGTGGGGGGGTAATGATGAGTGGGGGTGATGTGAGAGGGAGGAGGTGATGGTGGGAGAGGAGGTAATATGAGAGGGGGTGATGAGAGGAAGGGGGTGATGTGTGAGGGAGAAGGGGGTGATGTGAGAGGGGGGGGACTAAATACCTTGGCTCCCTGGTGGTCCGGTGGGCTGCCTGGTGGTCAGGTGGCCATAATATCCGTGAATCACATGAGACACAATCAGAGCTCGCAAGACACATGGTCTGCAGCTCTGCACATTGCGGAGCTGCAGACCGGTGTATTCGATGGGCTCAGGAGGGGCATCGCACCCGGCGGTATATTGAGCAAGCCGCCGGGCCCCCTAATGTTGTCAGGTCCTCGGTCACTGACCCAGGACCCGACACAGTCTCCCCCGGGTACCCCCCTAGTGAGTGGCACCCGGGGCGGACCGCTCCCAACGCCCCCCCTGCTTCTCCCTTAGTACACTACTGCCTACAACCCTCTGGTGCACTTTTAAAGCAGTAACCAGAGGAAATTTTATTAAACTACAAGCCCAATCCAACAAGAATTTCAATTTAACTGAGCTATACGGACAACTGGGAAAAATGTCATTTGCAAGTAAAGAGAATTTAACGTCGATATCAAACAATATCTTAAAAACTCAAATTTACCTCAAATCCCTGGATCTGATAGATCTTTCTTAAACAAAAAAAATAACCTCAGAAGAAGTGATTTTGGCTATATCTAATTTGAAAAAATGTAAGACACCTGTCACGATTCTCACCGTGACATCCCAACGGCCAGACGAGGTCGCCCCAGAAGTGCCCGGTGACGGACTTGAACCAGAGTACTTTGCAGTCTTGGGGCTGCTGTTTTGCCTCTGAGCCACCATATCAGCTCAAAAGATAGCCAGAAGTCTATATTGCCTTGTACCCAGCACTGGGGGCTGGACGTTATTCTGTGGCTGCTCCAACGATCTCAGCACACCTGTGGCTGATCACCAATTAGCCAGGTATAAGACACTGCCTCTCCCTGAGGGCAGTGTCAGTTCATTGACTCTGGTTCCCTTGTTTGGTTCCTGTTACTCTGTACCTGCGTTCCAGTGATTACTGTCTAATTCCGGCTTCTGACCTTGGCTTTCCTCCTGGACTACTCTGACCTCTGGCTTCCCTGATTTTGGCTTCCCTTGACCATGCTTCTGCTAATCCCTGCTGTACTGAGACTTGGCGTACTTTTCCTGGAAAGCCCCCGTGCACAGACTAACAGATCAGGTGGCGTCTTACCTGGTCACCCTGGTCTGTGTCTACTTTGCAAGGGTGAGCGTATAACTCTGCGAGCCGGACTCCCCATCAGGTAAGATCCTGACATAATGAACTGACCTTATGGAGTCTGCAGAGTTATACAAATTACTCACCTCCCTGGCTGAACAAGTCTCCAACCTGTCCCAGAATGTTATGGATTTGCAGAGATGTTCATTGGCATTTAAAGGAGCAGTACATCCAATCCCGGAACATACATACCCGGAACCCTATGTCATTATGCCTGACAGGTTGACGGTTCCCGTTCTGCTTTCCCGATGTTCAAGAAGGATTGTGAGCTACTGTTTGCCCTGAAACCTAGAACCTACGCCACCGACCTTATCAGAGTCCGCTCCGCTATTAACCTGTGTACTGGGCGGATTAAGGCGTGGGCACACCAAAGCTGCAGGAGAGAAGTACTGTCTTGGACTCCTGGGAGTTGTTCATGTCCGCAATGGACTCTCAGTGCTTTGCATCAAGGAAAGCAACTCCCAAGCCTACTTCAGGTTCTTGCAGAACCCGGTTGCCTAGAGAAGAGGAATTATTTTATGAATACAAGAATCCCATCTCGCTACAGTCTAAACCTACCTCCAAGGACCTGCCTTGTCATCATAATGTTACCCATGTGGAACTTGGCACTCTAGAGGACAAGGAGGAACCCATGGAGATTGGCTTCATCCGCACTAGAACAAGACTGCCATCTAGTGAAAGAGACCGAAGGAGGGCTTGTTGTCTCTGTTTCTATTGTGGAGAAGGAGGGCACTTTATCTCCCACTGCCCTATTCGCCCAACTCGGCCTAAGCCTCTTCAAGTAGGTACTACTCACCTTTATCCTGTTATCCCGGCAACACAGCCAGAAAAATGTCAAGGATACTGTCAGAAGTTTCCACGTTCCGTGACGCAGAAGAGTACCCAGACTACGATGGCTACTGATGCCAGTGTCTCTCAAGAACACATAATCGGTGGTCATGAGAATTCACTACCTCCAGAAGACTCTCCTGTTAAAACTGGTACCATCACCACTTCCTGCCTGCCCAAAGGAGTACTACCTGTGGATTGCACCTATGGTACCAAGGTCCACAGAACAGATCTGGAAACGTTTGAAAGGGCTTTGAAAGCCGTGAACTCTGCTCCTGGTGACTCACCTAAGAAAAAAGTTCAGAGAAAATGACTCCTGGGATCAAGGTACTTACCACCTGCACCAAATCCATGAATAACCTTGACCTCTTTCCATTAGTACCAAAACTGGTACCATAAAGTCCCAGGCTGTAAAGGGACTCCGCTCTGGAGACTGTGATTACAAAGACTATCTTAGTGATCCTGAGATCGAAGATGAGGAGTACTATTTCCAAGAATAACCTGTTCACGCCCGGAGGGCGTTCTTGAAGGGAGGGTGCTGTCACGGTTCTCACCGCGACATCCCGACGGCCAGACGAGGTCGCCCCAGAAGTGCCCGGTGACGGACTTGAACCAGGGTATTTTGCAGTCCTGGGGCTGCTATTTTGCCTCTGAGCCACCATATCAGCTCGAGAGATAGCCAGAAGTCTATCTTGCCTTGTACCCAGCACTGGGGGCTGGACATTATTTTGTGGCTGCTCCAACGATCTCAGCACACCTGTGGCTAATCACCAATTAGCCAGGTATAAGACACTGCCTCTCCCTGAGGGCAGTGTCAGTTCATTGACTCTGGTTCCCTTGTTTGGTTCCTGTCTTGCTACATCTGCGTTCCAGTATTTCCTGTCTGATTCCGGCTTCTGATCTTGGCTTTCCTCCTGGACTACTCTGATCTCTGGCTTCCCCTGACTTTGGCTTTCCTTGACTACGCTTCTGCTAATCCCTGCTGTACTGCTACTTGGAGCACTATTCCTGGAAAGCCCCCGTGCACAGACTCACAGATCAGGTGGTGTCTTACCTGGTCACCCTGGTCTGTGTCTACTTTGCAAGGGTGAGCGTATAACTCTGCGAGCCGGACTCCCCATCAGGTAAGATCCTGACATAATGAACTGACCTTATGGAGTCTGCAGAGTTATACAAATTACTCACCTCCCTGGCTGAACAAGTCTCCAACCTGTCCCAGAATGTTATGGATTTGCAGAGATGTTCATTGGCATTTAAAGGAGCAGTACATCCAATCCCGGAACATACATACCCGGAACCCTATGTCATTATGCCTGACAGGTTTGACGGTTCCCGTTCTGCTTTCCCGATGTTCAAGAAGGATTGTGAGCTACTGTTTGCCCTGAAACCTAGAACCTACGCCACCGACCTTATCAGAGTCCGCTCCGCTATTAACCTGTGTACTGGGCGGATTAAGGCGTGGGCACACCAGAAGCTGCAGGAGAGAAGTACTGTCTTGGACTCCTGGGAGTTGTTCATGTCCGCAATGGACTCTCAGTGCTTTGCATCAAGGAAAGCAACTCCCAAGCCTACTTCAGGTTCTCGCAGAACCCGGTTGCCTAGAGAAGAGGAATTATTTTATGAATACAAGAATCCCATCTCGCTACAGTCTAAACCTACCTCCAAGGACCTGCCTTGTCATCATAATGTTACCCATGTGGAACTTGGCACTCTAGAGGACAAGGAGGAACCCATGGAGATTGGCTTCATCCGCACAAGAACAAGACTGCCATCTAGTGAAAGAGACCGAAGGAGGGCTTGTTGTCTCTGTTTCTATTGTGGAGAAGGAGGGCACTTTATCTCCCACTGCCCTATTCGCCCAACTCGGCCTAAGCCTCTTCAAGTAGGTACTACTCACCTTCATCCTGTTATCCCGGCAACACAGCCAGAAAAATGTCAAGGATACTGTCAGAAGTTTCCACGTTCCGTGACGCAGAAGAGTACCCAGACTACGATGGCTACTGATGCCAGTGTCTCTCAAGAACACATAATCGGTGATCATGAGAATTCACTACCTCCAGAAGACTCTCCTGTTAAAACTGGTACCATCACCACTTCCTGCCTGCCCAAAGGAGAACTACCTGTGGATTGCACCTATGGTACCAAGGTCCACAGAACAGATCTGGAAACGCTTTGAAAGCCGTGAGCTCTGCTCCTGGTGACTCACCTAAGAAAAAAAGCTCAGAGAAACTGACTCCTGGGATCAAGGTACTTACCGCCTGCACCAAATCCATGAATAACCTTGACCTCTTCCCATTAGCACCCGAAACTGGTACCATAAAGTCCCAGTCTGTAGACTTTGATTACAAAGACTATCTTAGTGATCCTGAGACCGAAGATGAGTACTATTTCCGAGAAGAACCTGTTCACGCCCGGAGGGCATTCTTGAAGGGAGGGTACTGTAACGATTCTCACCTCAACATCCCAACGGCCAGACGAGGTCGCCCCAGAAGTGCCCGGTGACGGACTTGAACCAGGGTACTTTGCAGTCCTGGGGCTGCTATTTTGCCTCTGAGCCATCATATCAGCTCAAGAGATAGCCAGAAGTCTATATTGCCTTGTACCCAGCACTGGGGGCTGGACGTTATTCTGTGGCTGCTCCAACGATCTCAGCACACCTGTGGCTGATCACCAATTATCCAGGTATAAGACACTTCCTCTCCCTGAGGGCAGTGTCAGTTCATTGACTCTGGTTCCCTTGTTTGGTTCCTGTTACTCTGTACCTGCGTTCCAGTGATTACTGTCTAATTCCGGCTTCTGACCTTGGCTTTCCTCCTGGACTACTCTGACCTCTGGCTTCCCTGATTTTGGCTTCCCTTGACCACGCTTCTGCTAATCCCTGCTCTACTGAGACTTGGCGCACTTTTCCTGGAAAGCCCCCTTGCACAGACTCACAGATCAGGTGGCGTCTTACCTGGTCACCCTGGTCTGTGTCTACTTTGCAAGGGTGAGCGTATAACTCTGCGAGCCAGACTCCCCATCAGGTAAGATCCTGACAACACCAGGCCCAGATGGTTTCAGTAACTTATTTTATATGCTTTTCAAAAATCAAATATGCCTTCATTTAACAAATGTCTTTAACCACGCTATCCAAAATGTATAATAGTTAATAATCATACCTCATTATAAATCGTGTTAATCTCCTAGGTCATTTCAGAGACATGATTAAAATCACAACCAAAAAGGTCCAGGCACACCTAGTAGTTTCCTCAAAGAGGCAGACTTTCAAAGCATCACAATGTTTCGGCTCTCAAATGAGCCTTTGTCAAGCCTCAGACATGCATTTAGATTCTGAAAGGACTTGCAGCACAAGTCATCATCAGAACAGATACAATATGTGTCACGGTTCTCACCGTGACATCCCGACGGCATCGCCCCAGAAGTGCCCGGTGATGGACTTGTACTTTGCAGTCCTGGGGCTGCTATTTTGCCTCTGAGCCACCATATCAGCTCGAGAGATAGCCAGAAGTCTATCTTGCCTTGTACCCAGCACTGGGGGCTGGACCTTATTCTGTGGCTGCTCCAACGATCTCAGCACACCTGTGGCCAGGTATAAGACACTGCCTCTCCCTGAGGGCAGTGTCAGTTCATTGACTCTGGTTCCCTTGTTTGGTTCCTGTCTTGCTATATCTGCGTTCCAGTATTTCCTGTCTGATTCCGGCTTCTGACCTTGGCTATCCTCCTGGACTACTCTGATCTCTGGATTCCCCTGACTTTGGCTTTCCTTGACTACGCTTCTGCTAATCCCTGCTGTACTGCTACTTGGAGCACTATTCCTGGAAAGCCCCCATGCACAGACTCACAGATCAGGTGGCGTTTTACCTGGTCACCCTGGTCTGTGCCTACTTTGCAAGGGTGAGCGTATAACTCTGCGAGCCGGACTCCCCATCGGGTAAGATCCTGACAATATGTCAGCCTTTAGCCCTTAAGGGTTCCACCAAACATCATAGGTGGACTAACAGTTTCCTGAATCCTGATTGATTTTGTTCAAGTTAAAAGTAAGTTGCAAGTATCCTGTCTTGTACGTCCTTGAAGAAATCCGTGAATAATATAATTATCTATTGAAATAACATAGCTGCTTTTTTTTTTTTCTCTGATCTTTAAGGGTAACTCAATGGTGACATTTTTTTCTTACAGCTTTTCCAAGACTGTTAATATTGAATATTGAATATTTCTCTACATTCTCACAAAATGGACTCATGACCTGACACTTGCCATTGAAATGATAGTGAATCACAATCAACAAGCTCACAAAGAAAAAAAAAAAAGATACATGCAATCTGACACAATGTATATGCAGCAGAGGATCATGGGAATACTAACTTTATTTGCATGAAATACCAGGTGCAGGACACAGTCATGAGGTCACAGTATAGTTTTATCAATGGAAATATATAAATAAACTTAGGTCCCAATTTAATATTGCTGGATAAGCTTTCCAAATGATTTAACATTTTTGAATAGACTCTTAAAAATAATTTCTCAGAATATTAAAATATAAAAAAAAAAGAAAAAATCAATATATCAAGAACTTTCAAAATATAACAAAATAAAAATATTTTTTATAATATAACGTCATTTTAAAGGTTTATCCAAAAGTATTAAATCATAAAAAAAATGCTAAATCTAAATAATTTTAAAAGTTTATCTAAAAATATAAATTTATTTGAAAACCCTATATAACAATATTAAATCAAGGCCTATGTCAGACACATAGTAAACCTGAAACACGCAAGAAATCTCTTCTTTATACAATGTGTTCAATAGTTAAGATCCAATTAATTCTCTGACCGACTCATATTCATACTATAACACAAAACTTTTCAGAATCGAAGTGTTCAAAGATTAAATTTAGTGGAAATTTAATTGGATTTGATTGTATAGGTATAGAAAGTTACATTTTCACCACTAGGGTGTGGTGAGCTCAACCCTTTGGTACTCAACAGTTTAACACTACAGTTGTGTTCCTACACAGTGCTGTCTTTTGGGTTTGGCAGAGGATTGTCCTTTGTGTGTGTATCCATACCAGCCCCTAACAAAACCTTTACTTTCATCGCTTCCACCCCCACCTTGAAAGCTAACACACATTTATTAACACCAACCTTGGAAGTCAACACACGTTTATTACTAAGGGTTCACTGTTTATTTTTCCTTTAGCAGTTAGCGTTTTATTTTCATGTCCATCATGACGACAAAAAGATCACTTGCAGAAAATCACAGACTAGTATATCAAGGATACCCAAGGACTTCACAAAACTTATACTGGTCGACAATGAATTATGTGTATTGAAGGTACTCTCTAAACACCATCACAACCTTACATAGCTGTAATTCTGCGAGTGACGTAGAGCTGCAGACATTTGTTGAAATCAGAGCTGTCAATCAGGCCGATGGAACACTCAGTTCTTGCTGCGTGATATCAACCTTGTTCAAGTCGTATCTAAACCAAGAGCATAGCCGAGATATAGACTGATTATTCATGACTCAGTGCACAGGTTTATGTACCCTATTTAACACCTGATACGGCAAAGGTGCTTGTCTCTTGCCTTGACTATTTGATTACATGTAGACTGTAGGGCTGCAATTAACAATAAAAACACTATAAAATAATTTGTGGAAACGTTTATTTGCCCCGTCATATTGAAAAAACTGTGTAGAATGTTCAAACATTCTGAGATTTTTATTTTATTTTATTTTTTGCGCCCATGGCAACAGGCCCTTAGTTCCCCCCTCCACCCTAGGCAACTTAGTGAAAGTCAATATAATCAGATGGACCTTGGGAATCTTAAGAGGGCATTGGGGATCAGGGACCTATACAACAGCTTAGCTCTGTGTGCTGTGCAGCATGCATGAACTGAAATTAATTTATCTTACCTCATAAATATATAGCTTAAATTTGGGGCTTGTTCACTAAACCGTAAGTTACAGTTTTAATTTTTTTTTCCTAAATCTGCTTTTTTTTTGTTTGTGAGTCTTTTTTCAACTAACCAGAGCTCACTGGTTATAGAATAAAGCCCCTAAACATAGCTCATTCTAGACATCCTCAGAGCTGACACTTCACAGCCTCTGCCGTCTCGACTGTAATAATAGAAAATGTGAATTGTAATGATCTGTTAAAGGAAGCCAGAAACTGCCACACCTACTAATTATTAAATAATTATATTGCAACTCTTAATAAAGGCATAGAGTAATGAGCGCTTAGCCCCGGAAAAGCTCTATTTTAATACTGCTGCAAACAGTAATTACATATATATATATCATGAAAATAAACAGAGGTGAGGCAAAGGAACTAGAAGATTAACTCTTTTCTTATCACAGGGGCTATTAACAGACAGAGATAACATTTTATAAATACCAATGTTAGTAAATTTTTACATTTTGTTTTACTAGCTGTTTTTCTTTGTGACATGGCATTTGGCATTTCCCTTAACCTAAGGTTATGGTGCTAGGACGCTGCTGAATGGCTATTTTCGAATGGTTTGACATAAGCCAAGGTCCCCAAAGGCATCTGTGCTCCTGCTCCTCTCTCACCGTGTTGCAACTGTAGTATCTACATATCCACATTAGTAATGTCGATATCCCTCATATTTGAATGGCTTTGATTGGCTGAGTGTCAGTGAAATAAAATAGAGTAGAAAGGGACCGCACATTTAGCCAGAAGCCCCAAGTGGTGCATTCAAAATAGGAGGTGGCAAACTCCCCAATATCATGTTCAGTAAATCCAAATCATCCTGGGCACACAACAACTGCAATTAGATCAAGAAAAGAAGAGAGAAAATTTCGGTCGGACTATGAGACCCTTATGTAATAAATGAAAAAGGCTTTAGTGGATAAACTACTTATTCCATAACCCACAATTGAACGGGAGTTTGTTGGATAAGATATCAGCCCACAGGCCAGAATGAGAGGCTGTTGATCGGTGGACCCTCTTCCTTGTGAGCGAGGAGTTTCTGTTGTTTGTTTATATTTTTAATGCATTATATATAATGCCTATAATGCTTTACACATGGGGTCATTTCCTGCCGATTGTGTTCCTTTAAGCACTTTGCTACATTGTATGCATATTATGTAATTCAATCTTCCCTCCGCACATAGAGCCTTGTGGAGAAGGTCCCAACGTTATTTAAACAAGTTCTATTTGTAAAGGTTTAAAAACATATTGCAACAAATTGGTCTATCAGGTTTATTCATATCGCAGCTTAGATCATCGTAATTACTTTTAATAATATTTCTTTTACAGGATAGTCTTATGCAATTGCCTTCTGAATAGCAAGTCTGTTTCCTACTTCTCCTCTATCACTACATAAAAACTTTACGTTAGGATCTTGCTTTCAATTATCTTTGTGAAGTATTGATGTTATAATTTACCACGTTAAAGGGACACTATAGGCACTGTAATAACATTGTTACTGTGCCTTCATTCCAACAACCCCATGTTGTACACCCTAAAAGCATTTATTTCACTAATTAGACTTTAAAGTGTGGCTTCAAGCCACACTCCTAAGCCCTCTGGGTATGAGAGTCGGATTGTTAATTACCGGCTCTTATACCACAACATACAGTGACGTTGTGCGCATACACAGTGCTGTCATGGTCTGCCATAGAAAATCATTGTATTCAATGCACACCTCCAGGATAACATCAGCCCAGGAGGAGGACTCAAGACTGCAGAGAAGGTAATTTCATTTTATTTTTTCGTTTTGTTTTTTTTAACATTGATATGTTTTCTTAACACTACAGTGTTCCTTTAACGATACTCATTTTGTTGACCTTAGTAAAATGAGCAGATGAACTGACCGTGCTAGCATTTAAATCTGCAATGCAATAGGTACGAGACATAATGCAGATGGAACTGTCTCACCTTATGCTGTATAAACAAAGATTATAAATTATAATATATTATAAGAAATAATAAGATAATTTAAAAAGGCCAGCTATAATAAATTATGATTCAAAAAGAAAGAGGGGGAAAAAAAATCTTCATTCAGAATGCTAGAT